ATTAATGTTTTATAATTAAAAAAAAATAAGTAAATATATTTTGGATGACAAAGGAAAATGATGAAGGCATAGGAGTTTCTAAGAAATTAGAATTATTGTCGGAAAGTCAAGAATTGAAGGAAGAGAAAAGCAACCTAAGAATCTTCAAACTTGCTTCCGCGTCATTATATTAACGCGTGTGTGTGTGTGAGAGAGAGAGAGAGAGAGAGAGAGAGAGATGATGTCGTCATTGGTTTGAGGTCATGAATCCATTGAACCATGAGTTGCTACTTTTGGATAAGATTCAAAAGAAAAAGTAATGCATTTGAGCGTAAACCACAACTTTAAGTAGTTCAAAAAAAATGTAGCACATGATTAGGGATTTTTAAATTCTCTCTTTTTTGTTTTATGCAGGGGCGGACGCGTAACTTTAATATTGGGGCACAATCGAACTTGTAAAGAAGTTGGTAGAATTTTTACAATTGAAAATTTATATCCAAAAAAATCATACTCCATGTAATTTTACATCTAAAAATTTTACATGAGATATGACTTTTTCGGATATAAAATTTCGAAATTTTTTGAAAATTTCCTAATAAAATGATGAAAATTACATTGAGAAACTTGTATCGTAAAAATAATAAATGTTAATGAAATAATTGATTTTTTTTGTTTAATAATTTAATATGCTCATCAACGCACCATGAAGAGTTGGAAGTAAAAAGAATATATTTTACAATAAAACCATTTGTACATAAATGATTTTGCCAGAAAGCCACCAGAATATTCAAAATGCGGGGGTCTAGCCTTGTATTTTAAAAAAAAAAATTGTGGGCCCCACCGTGCGTGTGTGTTCTGTTGGTCTTTTGTGGCTTCTACTTCTGCACACGAAGCAAAATTCTATATTTTATACTTGTAAAATTTGAGATCATCCCACCGAATAGTTCGACAATTGGTATTGTTAATTTTTTCCCTAGACAAGAAAATATTATACATGTTCAACGTGCAGATGGATTTTGATAGCTGGCAGTGAGTTGTAAATTGTAATTAATGAAATTAAGAATCTTGATTAGTGTATAATCTATTTTATTATGGTCAATAATGATAAATATTTCTCATTAAAAATTCATTTCAAGGGGAGAAAAGTCAAAACTGTAGATGACTTTTATGCTTAATTAAAAGAGAAATTTGTCCTTCTCGTCTCCAACCTTTACAAAGTGTAATAAATATGCCATCGACATTTTCTTTTAGTATAATTCATTCCCAACCTTTTAATTATACAGCAAAACTCGTCATTTCCTCCATTTTAATCATTTAATGACAGATTTGCGCATATTTTTAAATAAACAAACATAAAAGAAAGCAGTAAATAACAACAATAATAAAAAAAGAAAAATGGAAATCCATAATTTTTCAAAAGTACACGTAAATCACGCTTAAAATAATTAAATAGATATTAATTCACACAAAAAAGTTATTTATTTATTTATTTTTTTTCTTTTCCAATCAAGCTCACCCATCTACCCCATCAACACCCTCCACAAATATTACATCCACGAATTTAATCACTCTAGATGGTGATTTTCCGACTTGGTCTCTGATTTTTTGTCCACTCTTTCTTTGTTTTTTTGTTATTTTGAACTAACTTTAATAAGGTGATGGTGGTGCTACCGACGTGATTACATTTGTGGAGGTGGTGTTTAACCGCTTATAGGCGTGAATTAGGAATGAGTGGAATGGGGTGATGAACTTGGTTGGGGAAGATGAAATTTTTCTAAATCTATTTTTTCTGTTAATATATATTTAATTGTTGTAAATGTGATTTTTTTTTGTAATTTTAAAAAGTTATGGAAATTTATTTGCAATTTTTTTTTGCTACTTTCTTTTATGTTTATTTATTCAAATAGAAGGACAAATTCGCCATTTGAGGGATAAAATGAAGGGACTTATGTGTTTCTCTACATAATTGAAAGGTTGAGGATGAATTATGCTAAAAAAAAGTTGAGAACAGATTAGTTATATTTCACAAAAGTTGGGATGAAAAGTGCAAATTTCCCTAATTAAAATAGGTTAGTGGCCAGATGTATATCCAAAAGGACAAATCACCTTAGCAATATTAAATTCCATTTGCCAAATGGAAATAATCTATTAAAATTACTAGTTTAGACTTTCAAAATAAAAAAATAAAAATAGTAGTTTAGATAATTGTAATAAGTCATAGAAGTTTCTCTTTCTATAGACATTAGCCATATTTTGGTGGGTTATTTTATATACAGATTGCTAATAGATGGGCTTAAGTTGAAATGTTTCATAAAACATCTCCGAAAAAAGCGATTTAGAGAGTAATCTAATTATTATAATATAAGTATCAGTTCATTTTAACAAAGTTTCTTTTCGAAGAAGGGGCATGAAAAATTCGTACACAAATTGCTTCTTTTCATATGAGTTAGCGAGAATATTACAATCGACCCTCTACAACTAGTTGTGAAAATCAATAGGTCTTCATACATTTAGATTAAATCGTTAGAGATTGATGCAAAATTTTCTTCAAAAGATAACAAAGTGAGAAAGAGCTTATCATTTAGGATACAAGATAAGAAGTGTCCACTTGGAAAATCCGAGTATGACGTTTTGTCCTTTGATGTATATTCCACATGTCTGAAACAATAAAATGTTAATTTATTATTTTAAAATTCAAGAATCAATCCCCCAAATTATTTTAAAACTGCAAAAAACTAAACATTATCGCTCTTTACGTAGAAGAACTATCTTTAATAAAGTGATCGTTGGATAACCACGTCTGCTAAATAGAAACGTCAAACTAAAAGTCCATACAAGATGAACATCTAAGAAAAAAGGTCCATATGCAAATAATGAAGAACCATAAGACTGAATTACCTGGGATGTCTGTGCCCATAAAAAATCTCGGAGCCACCCATTAATGGTAATAGAACTCTGGGCGGAGTTTCTTCCCGTGATATGAGTTACTACCCCTTGATCACTTATATTGCCTCAAACATCTGACTGCATTTTTCAACTAAAATGGAATATTACTATCAAAATGAAATTGTACATCTAGAATAGTCCTAAGAGGACATGATTCCAAGCCGATAATTGACATGTACCCCCTCTTTCGGGTCTATCACCAGGAAAATGAAAATCAAGATTTGTTTTATCCGATATCAA